GGTTGTTCTCTGCCCAAACTCCTGGTATGTTAAATAAGGATTCATCACTCCTCGGGTTTTGGCTAGTCAACACCGTATAAAGTCGCCACTCTTCTTCCTTTGGTACGGACAATGTCATAATACCTGAGGGTCCATTAAACTTTAAGGATGTTGTTCCATTTGGTAGGAACGTAATCTGCGCTTGTAATTTGGATAGCATATCACGCCCCAGCAATTGGACTGGACACTCAGGCATATAAAGGAATTGATGTTTTACTACGTGGCCTCCCAATGTACAGAGTCGACTTTTAAGAACCGGTTTTTCAGCACTTCTTCCAGTTGCTCCTATTACAGTAATAGTTCTTCCAGATGGAGGAGCAACTTGATTAGTCACCACCGAATGTTCAGCACCAGTGTCGATCATAAACGCACTCCTTTTTCCCCCTATTGATACATCGACCATAGGCTCCGCTCGACCAAGGGGGATGGAGCCCGGTCGGTATCAATAGTCCTCCATGACCGTGTCAGCCAATCCCACAAAGTCCCTACCTTCTCTATCGCGGGACCTTTGCGCTGCTGGATAGTACCTATCTTCCCTTACACTTCCTCTGTTCCCATTACTCCCTCTATTACCATTACTCCCTCCGGGGCCTCCTCTACCTCTCGCTCTGCCTCTAAAGTTTCCGTAACCTGCCCTGGGTAAGTCTCTCTCATACTGCTCTCTTTGCGGACACTCGTTCCTCCAATGCCCTTCTTCCTTACGCACTCGTTCCTCCAATGCGCACTGATTCCTACTCAAAGGCTCCCTATTCCATCTACCATCGCCTCTATCTGGGCCCCGTCTATCTACGCCTGCGATCGCTACCGCTAGCATATCTGCCTTTCTACGCATCTTGCGCTCTTCCTCTTTCTTACTTTCTGTTTCCCTATTCATATATACTTTGTTCGCTACCTCCATTGGTTGGGTGATAGACATACCTGCAAACCCTTCTAATTTCTGTAGCTTGCGCTTAATATCTCCGTAAGCTTGGCTGACAAAGGCGGAGTTTACCATTCGGGAATTATCAGCGTCTTCCGGATTAAAGGGGGTATACAAGCGGTATGCCTCCAATAATCGGTCATAAAAGACACTGGGCGCTTCATCCCTTTTCTGAATCACCTCAACTGTCTTCGACATGTTAATAGCTTTCTTCCCTCCGGCTTTCATGCCAGCAATTATAGCATCTCTATAGGCTTTAAGTTGAGCCATATCTGCGCCGTTTACATTCCAGTCAGGATCGGTGTTAGGGTAATGTGTTGCGGCCCATGCTGCCGGATTGGCTTGATTTAAAGCACGGGCTCTCTCCTCTAGCGCCTTAATGGGCGCTTGGTTAATCCTTGTCCTTTCCTCATTATTGAACAATGTCATTAATAACTGCTGGCAATCAGCCCATGTCGGGTTATGTGTCTGAACTATCGAGGTGAACAGATCGGTCATAGCTTGTGGTTTCTCAGTGTACGAGGTATTGTGGGTCTTCCAATTCAAGAGATCGGTAGTCGTGAACGGGACATATACGAAGACTGGGTCAGCATGTGCCATTTGACCTGCGGCATCGATATAGGCTGACCCAGGATTCAGGCGAAGAGGCATCTGATAATGTTTTAATTGTTGGGTACCGGTCAGTTGTCGGGTTAGTATGGGGCTACGTGGAGGGGCGTCAGTTAAAGGTTCCGGTCGAGAGGTAATAGGGCATGAGGATGTAGGAACTTGATTTTGGGAAAAGTTAGTGAATAGTATACTCCGAGCCGAGCTAGAAGAAGCTTGACCGGAAGTTTGAAGTGGCGCCAAATCAGGATATTCAGATCTAATGGGGGTTGGTCCTGGTTCCGGAAGGGGAGTTTTAATATGAGGGGGGGTGGATTCTGTACTGGAGGAGGAAGCGGAAGTGGATGGGGGCAATAGGGGAAGGGGTGCAGAGCTTCCTGCATTCGCGTCACTTCCTCTTAAAGGCAAAGGGATCTCGGACTCAGGGGGCGTGTCCAAAATGGGCCTAACACCAGTCCTAGTGGACAAACAAGTCCTGGCCACCATGAGGCGACATTGCTCCTCGTGGCATATCCGGATCCATTTTGGCGAGTCGTTTACGGCCTGCCCCCAACAATCAATGTATGGAAACTGTCCGTAAAGTTCAGGCCTACCTGACACAGCCGCGTGTACACGCTGTACCAGGGTTGGATCCAAACTGCC